AGTTCATGCGAGCGCCGGCCGCGAGAATATAAGATTATTACGATGCATCCTTGTTCCACAGTAATTATCTTGTATCTTAACTGTTGCTGTACGCGTTGCGTGTGAACCCGTCGTTCTTGCGCGTTGTTCCTGCCATGCTTAATTGTTCGGGATCGGAATTTCGACGTTCCTGCAACATTGTGGGCGAATGAACCTCCGCCGTAACGGGAAACCGTTGCAACTTTTCAGCAAATAGCATTTTTCATTCACCGCCGGCAACCATATCTGATAAAACCTACCGTTGGCCGGTAACGGCCCAGGAAAGTTCCGCGGTTACTTCGCAGGTTGGAAGCAAATTCGTTCAGGTCCCAAAACTTCGCTGGCAAGGAGAAACTTATAGCAAGTCTTAATTTATATGCGAGTTTATGATAAAGCGTATTTATGTGTAAATAAGCAATTGCGTATTAATATTTGTACAACCGTTCGTTAAAGAATACGGAATTCCAGAAAATCTTTTTTTCTATAAGTATTATAAAAATGTATAGATTTTTAAATTAAAATTACAGGAACGTCATTCTCAACGTCACCTTGACAAGTCCATGATTCATAAATTACTGTTTCAGTGGCCATTCATTTTACGAAGATGCGCTCAATGATCTCGTAACGCGAACCCATCGAATCTAGAAATTTCACGAATAAACGATAAAAATGGAAAGTGATCGGTAGTAGACCGCGGATCTTTGTGTAAAATGAAAATTGTTTGCGTCGACTGCAAGACGAACGAGCCATCGTATAATTGTCTTCATTTTCTTTTTAACAATTTTAATCATCTTTTCACCGTTCTCCTTTCACCGAAATCCACAGACTAGAAAGTGAAAGTTCTGTAAAACGCAACGAAATTCAAGATCCGAGTTATTTAAATATTCCGCTAGAAAAATGTGTAATAACAAATCGCGAAGCGTCACTGTCGTAGACACTTCCAAGTAAAAGCGCTGCGCAGGTTGCTTTTTGAAATCGAAATACCTCGAGCCACCTTCGGTCTTGCGAAAATTACTTCCGCGAGGTCCCGACGATTTCTTTTCGCGAAATTAACGAAATCGTCGCAGGCATTTTCGCGTCTTTCGAACTCTCGCGGCGCGAGAATTTGAACCGCGAATTTTGCCACCGGTTTGTAAAAGTTCCTGCGACGAACGGGGACGGCGGGACGTGAAAACGGGCGAAACTTCAGCGTGTAATCCGGCCGACGAGGCGACGCTCGTGGCCGAAATAGCTTAAAATCGTCTTGAATCCAACGAACGCCTCGAAAACGCGATGAAAGAGTAGGTCGAGGACCGCTTGACAAATCCTCTGGCTCGCTCTCGATATTTTTCCACGGCGCTCTGCCCAGAAAATCAACCGCGAACGGTGACTGCGCGCCTCGCGAAAATTCAAATAAGATCCGCTCGGATCGAAGACAGACAGCGTGTGAAGCGATCGCGAATCGGCATAGCCGCTTTAAATACTTTTCACGGCAAGCTTATTGACGAACTAAATTCGAGAACCATTTATCCGCTCGACTCGTCGCACGGGAATTTCTTTGGCCAAAGACTGGAGAGGAAATCAACGTCGCGAAAGTGACTGCTACATGTTGCTTCATGAGGATGGCAAGACCGAATTTATTTAGATTTCGTGCGATTTTGATTGCGACGACGGTGTTTCGAACGAAGCAATTTATTTTATCGTCTCTATATTTGCAACGCAGAAGATTTAAAATATTTATTTGTCCAGCGATGGTACATCAAATGTTGGCAAAAGTGAAACGAAGATTTGTTTAAATGGAAAATAATGCAACAGCGGAAAATCCGTGGTCTGATCGTCGCGTTTAAAATTTTACAAAACACTGGGTTCATTGGGATCGAAAGCGAAAAGTTGCTTTCGCTAAATTCTGCTACTACACGTTTAAAGAGCACGCAGTTTGTAAAATACAGAGGCTACTTGTCAAGAGCGGGAGCAATAAATTTTGATCTAGGCGTTGAACTCGGCGTCGATATTCGCGACAATACGGGCGAGCAACAATTTTGGAACCCGCGCGCACGCGAAACACGTTTCAAGAAGACCAGCTTTTCGATGCTCGGCAAGTGGCGCGTCTCTCGTACGCAATCGATACGCGCTATATTGCGATACAATCGACAAACACGGATTACGCTACGCTTCGCTGTATAATCCGTGAAATGGACGATTAATAACGATCGTATACATAGAGGCGAGCGACAGGCGCCGTGCAAACTAGTGGATTTTATCAAACGCGCAGCGCCGAGTTCGCCGAGCCAGCAGAGCGCAGATAGAAATTTGCTCGCCCACCGAATCGAGATCTTTTCGAAACAATTATAATTGGAGATTACTAATGAATCGCGCCGTGCTTTTAAGAATATTTTTCGAATACCTGCTCGATGCAACGTAGCTATTTTTTTTTAGAAGCCAACCGATCCTTCGCGAAGTTTATGAAGCCAACAGCAATTCGTGAAGATCAAAGAATTTGGCACTCGTTCAGGCGATTTATCGTAGACCGATACTATCGTCGATGTAACCCATTGTTTTTTAACGTTACACCTTCACGATTGCTATTTTTTTTTGCGCGCGCACGCGGTGTCTGAACGTTGTAATTTGTCATTCTGTTGACTAGTTGGCTGTTTTTGACGAATTTATTCGTCACGAAGAAATGACATTTTATATAATTATGCTTAACGTATTATATGATATTTGATGAAAGTGTCGTATTTTAACATAATATGGAGGAAATCAAACGTGTACAGTATAATTACAGTAACTTACACATTTCTCGAAAATATTGCAGCAACTAGCTGGTGAAATATTCGACGAAGGATTTCGTCAAGATTGGAAACGTGTTAATTGAACCATTCATTCGAGCCTTAACGGAAACTATGAAATTTGAGAAATGAGTTTCAAAAATTGGCAAACAAATTCGTTAGTCGCAAAGATGACGCTTTTCAAGAAATGCAATTGATTTTGCTCCGAACTAAACAAATCATTCGTACAACTTTCACAAACGAGATTCTTAACCTGTTAGCCGGAGAATTAACTTTTGTTCAACTCGTTCGCAATGTGGTCTTTCTCTTTCGCAATGTGACGTTCTACTATCACGCTTAAAAAAGAAAAATGTTTAAAAATCGCTTTCCACTTCAGTCATTTTGACGAAATATTTTACGACATATTTAGAAACATCAAACATTTTAAACAATTTTTTCAAAAACATTTCCAATGTACAAAGAATTAATTGAACAAACTGAGATAATTATTTCGCGATTGTTAAATGTATATTCTGATTGGTAATGCACAGTTTTCTCCAGTATATCCTGACACCCTTGTGCTACGTATAAAAAACGTAGTAATTGTGTTTGAAACTAAACTGTGCAAATTCGAAGTGTTACCATGCCGTTACTGTAGGTTTCGTTGCGTAAGAACGACGTAAAACTTAGCGCGGTCCACATATTACTTTGAAAAATTTGACTGAAAAGAAACACGTCTCCCTGGTTACGAAGAAATATTTGGTTGGCAACTAAGTAATTTCCGATTTCAGTTATAGATGTTATATTATAAAATTATTATTATTATTATAAAATTATTATTATTANTTTGAAACTAAACTGTGCAAATTCGAAGTGTTACCATGCCGTTACTGTAGGTTTCGTTGCGTAAGAACGACGTAAAACTTAGCGCGGTCCACATATTACTTTGAAAAATTTGACTGAAAAGAAACACGTCTCCCTGGTTACGAAGAAATATTTGGTTGGCAACTAAGTAATTTCCGATTTCAGTTATAGATGTTATATTATAAAATTATTATTATTATTATAAAATTATTATTATTATTATCATTATTATTATTATCATTATTATCATTATTATTATTATTATTATTATTATGTTATCTTTTATTATCCGTGAATGTTAGCAACTGGACTATTTCGATCCCTGGACAACTCCCTTCGTGGTAAAACTTTTAATAACGATGACGCTGTAAAATCTCACTGAACTCAGTTTTTGGCCGAAAAGGATCAGACTTCCTACGAACGTGGAATTTTCAAGCTGTCAGCGAGATGGCAAAAGGTCATCGAACAAAATGGAAAATACATTACAGATTAAACTTCGTTCCAAGTAAAAAAGAATTTTTCATTTCATTGAACAAATCGGCAATTACTTAGTTGCCAACCCAATATTTCGCAACACCGATATTAACAGATCAAAGCCGAAAACGTCGCTTTTCCTAGAGAATGAGTTGTCCGAAAAATCTACGAACGTCGACGTCGAACGACTCGCGATCGCGTTGCGCCCATAAAAATCAACGTTGAAAAGCGCGACCGTCAAGTACACGCAGCGAACCCGAGTGTACGCGAGGATGTTAGGATCTCGGTGCGGCGAGCAACAGGAAGCGCAGCACCGCAAACGACCGGGGACACAGACTGGAAGAATGCGGGAGCATCTCGATAGTACGCAACTGTACGGTACAGAGGCTCGTTGCGTTCCAGATTCTCGAAATTCTTCGTCGAATGCTTCCCACCCAATCGAACGAAGATTATAAGACCGACCGAATCTCTCGGCACGGGGAACCCGTTACGCTTTCAGCCAGGCGACTCACGTGCTGTATAAAGTCCGCGGCTGTGCGACTCGGTACGATCGAGCGACACACGTCTATTTTACCCATCGTCCTGGCCATTTAATCATTCCGCGGAACGCTTACACGCTTCATGGAATTCCCTTATTCGGCCGATGGAACATACATATATGTACGATTCCCCGGATGCGTGGCACCGTTCAGTGTCCACGTACCACGGGCAGGAAAAGACTGATCGGCAGCAGCGGCGGCGGCTGCTGACCAGCCAGCTAGCCAGCTAGGTTCGCCGTGGTCCGACGGTGAACCCGTTGACGGCGTTGACGTTTCAGCCCGGAATATCGCGGATCGGATCGGCTCGCCGCCTGCCGCCTAACGTTCACGCGCACATACGATAACGATTCAATCTTACCTGGGTTGGTGTCCGCGTTCGAACTGAACAGCACGCACAGGCCCGTCTCGTAGTTCACCGCCTGGCAGGAGTCGTTCGTCTGACATAACTCGAGGCATGCGGTGAGCATCAGGGTTCCTGGTTTGGTGTAGAGCATGTCCGTCGGCGCGGTGTACACGTAACCGGTCACTAGCTCGAAGCCCACCATTTCTGGGTCGCACTCGTCGGAGCCGGCGGATGGCCCCGTGTAATCCGGCCCAGAAAGTCCCGACGGGACCGCAGATGAGNAAATTTGACTGAAAAGAAACACGTCTCCCTGGTTACGAAGAAATATTTGGTTGGCAACTAAGTAATTTCCGATTTCAGTTATAGATGTTATATTATAAAATTATTATTATTATTATAAAATTATTATTATTATTATCATTATTATTATTATCATTATTATCATTATTATTATTATTATTATTATTATGTTATCTTTTATTATCCGTGAATGTTAGCAACTGGACTATTTCGATCCCTGGACAACTCCCTTCGTGGTAAAACTTTTAATAACGATGACGCTGTAAAATCTCACTGAACTCAGTTTTTGGCCGAAAAGGATCAGACTTCCTACGAACGTGGAATTTTCAAGCTGTCAGCGAGATGGCAAAAGGTCATCGAACAAAATGGAAAATACATTACAGATTAAACTTCGTTCCAAGTAAAAAAGAATTTTTCATTTCATTGAACAAATCGGCAATTACTTAGTTGCCAACCCAATATTTCGCAACACCGATATTAACAGATCAAAGCCGAAAACGTCGCTTTTCCTAGAGAATGAGTTGTCCGAAAAATCTACGAACGTCGACGTCGAACGACTCGCGATCGCGTTGCGCCCATAAAAATCAACGTTGAAAAGCGCGACCGTCAAGTACACGCAGCGAACCCGAGTGTACGCGAGGATGTTAGGATCTCGGTGCGGCGAGCAACAGGAAGCGCAGCACCGCAAACGACCGGGGACACAGACTGGAAGAATGCGGGAGCATCTCGATAGTACGCAACTGTACGGTACAGAGGCTCGTTGCGTTCCAGATTCTCGAAATTCTTCGTCGAATGCTTCCCACCCAATCGAACGAAGATTATAAGACCGACCGAATCTCTCGGCACGGGGAACCCGTTACGCTTTCAGCCAGGCGACTCACGTGCTGTATAAAGTCCGCGGCTGTGCGACTCGGTACGATCGAGCGACACACGTCTATTTTACCCATCGTCCTGGCCATTTAATCATTCCGCGGAACGCTTACACGCTTCATGGAATTCCCTTATTCGGCCGATGGAACATACATATATGTACGATTCCCCGGATGCGTGGCACCGTTCAGTGTCCACGTACCACGGGCAGGAAAAGACTGATCGGCAGCAGCGGCGGCGGCTGCTGACCAGCCAGCTAGCCAGCTAGGTTCGCCGTGGTCCGACGGTGAACCCGTTGACGGCGTTGACGTTTCAGCCCGGAATATCGCGGATCGGATCGGCTCGCCGCCTGCCGCCTAACGTTCACGCGCACATACGATAACGATTCAATCTTACCTGGGTTGGTGTCCGCGTTCGAACTGAACAGCACGCACAGGCCCGTCTCGTAGTTCACCGCCTGGCAGGAGTCGTTCGTCTGACATAACTCGAGGCATGCGGTGAGCATCAGGGTTCCTGGTTTGGTGTAGAGCATGTCCGTCGGCGCGGTGTACACGTAACCGGTCACTAGCTCGAAGCCCACCATTTCTGGGTCGCACTCGTCGGAGCCGGCGGATGGCCCCGTGTAATCCGGCCCAGAAAGTCCCGACGGGACCGCAGATGAGGCCGGCTGCTGGTCAGCCGCGTGCGTCGACTCTGCGGCCGCCACGCGACCCAGCCTCGCGATCGCCTGCACCACCAGCAACGTCGTGATCAACTCTCTTGTCATCATGCCGCTCTCCACCAGTCTCGGCAACCTTATCTGCAACCAGAACGTTATCCGGGTCAATTCGCGGTCTCCTACGCGTTCGCGACTTTTTTCACGGATCTACAACGAATTCCTGCTACCGCGAGAATCTCTCGGCGTTGCGATCGTTTCTGTGACACGGTTTAATCGTGTTGCAGCGAAACCGTGTCGATCGAAACGTACGTTAATTAATTATTATTATTATTATTATTATATAATTATTATTAATGCGGATGCAAGGCTGAATATGTTTCGCATTCGTTGCGAGAAGCAGATGTTATTCAGAGATTTCTATCCTTCATTAATGACTTCGATGAGTTAAACATGCTGCATTGGCATTCTCCAATCATTTAAATTTTACTACTGTTTTAAAATGCACTTACTCGTTTTTTCTTTTTTTATAAATACATAAAATCCGCAGACTTATTAATCATAAAAAGGGAATGTGTATTTTATTGGATTATGGTCGTAGTCCAAGAGTAATAAATTGTGTTGTTAGAAAACCGTGCTAAAATTGGACGTCGCAGCAGAATTATCACAATTTTTGCACCGCGTCTTTGGGTTGCTGTATTGCCTGTATCCGATCTGCTGATCTTCATGCAAGAAATAATAATTCTCCAAGAAGACAATTGCGAGTAACAGAAATGCAATGAAAATTAACTGTTTCGTTGAATAATTTTGATAAGTTGAAAACAGTGCAACAACGTTATTAAAGTATTCTTATGTCTTCGCAATTTTGAATTTCTGCTACTTATTTTTCAATGAAATCCGCAGCCCAGCGATAAATAAATCGAAGTGTCGACGAGAGCGTAGGAATGCGATCTGGTGTTTCGTGATGGCAATGTACGAACTTGAGCAGCAAATAGAACAATGCTTACCAAATTTACAAGATCGTTGACGACGAACATAGAAAGATTAATAAGCAAATCGAATTTCACTATCACGACGGAGTCACTATAAATGCATCAAAGACAGATATTTTTTAGCAGCTTTTCTATCGCAACTCTAACGTAAATGCACCTTAATCGAAAGTCATAAGAAATAGTATTAACAATCGTATTGAAGTAAAGTAAATAAAAAGTAACCACTTTCGTTACTCCTTTAAGAAATTTGTAAAAAGTTTCACATTTATTTGGTAGTTCCAGTGTCGATCTTAGAAGTACCACATGCAGTTAAATTGAATAGTTCTTCATTGCTTGTAAAAATCACAAGTGTACGTATTTTAAACATAGCTCGACAATTTTTTAACCAGTTCGATAGTGTCGCTGTATCGTCGTCTAATTCGACGTATTTTATGAACATTGTTTACGATTGTATTTTACTAATTTTGTATAGCAGTTTATAAGGATTGGAATCTGGTCCGAATTCATTCGTTTCAACGCACGTACTAACCGTGTGATTGCAATTATCTAAAAATTTTGTTTTCCAAGCGACACCGTGTCGGAGCGCTCGGAGCAGATCGAATTACAATAACAATTTCAGCCAATCCTGCTTTATTGCGGATTATTTACAGCTATAACGCATAAAGCTCGAATTCTGGAGCACGCAGACATTTATTTGCAAAATCGGCGTAACGACCGAGCTAAAAATGATTAACTTTCAACGAACGTATCCTACATTGCTGGATCGGAAAGAATGCTATCGAACGATCTATTCGAATCGCTTCCGAATTACATCGAGTTCAAACGAGTTATCGACTTCTGCGAACGTTCGGTAGCCTAAAAACGGGCAAATAAATGGGCGAGGCCGAAAGACGATGTTCTGGTCAAACAAAACCATTATTTCAGATGTACGAAATCGGCTTCCGGGGGCCGAATACAAATGGCGGCGAATTCAACATTCCGGCTACGGAACCAGTATATCCGAGTTCGGACGTAAATAACCTAGTTTTGCGGTCTGCTACGTGTAATAATAATAAAATGAGAACATTGTCTGAAATCTGTCACTGTAGAAGAACGTGCTTCTAGGAGCACGCCGCCTGAATACCGAAAGAGACTTCGGTCTACATACCGAAGTCCGCTGACAACTGGCCACGACCGGCTGAACAATTCTCTTAGCACGCGTCGCGGCTGGGTTTTACGAACGTCCAATACGGAGCGGGGAAAACGTATGTACAAATTTTTCGCCCGTGGTGAATAGGAACTTGAACCGTTCCGCGCTTTCCAGTCGAAAACGGTCGGCAAAAAAATGCCAGCGCGAAAATACGAGCGCTGCCCCGGTTCCGGCCTTTATTCCCGTCACGTTGTTTTCTAACGCGCGAAACTAAATAACAACCGGCGCAACGGCCCGTCCCGACACCGCCGCGACCGGGTCTGTATATTCACGGTTCGATGGAACGAACAAAAGCTCAAGTAGCAAAGTTCCACGAATTCCTGCGTGTCCGCGGCGAAATAAAACGACCAAGAAGCCGCGGCGCATCATCGGTTTCCCTTGTTCGCCTAGAGTATAATATCGACCCTGCCATTTGCGCGATAAGTCCGTGACGTTCGGGGATACGTGACGGGGCGACGTGTCAAAAAAATAAAAATAAATAAATAAAACGGACTTCATAAAGACGAGTACCAGTTCTCGGTTCAATTTATGGATTAATCTTGTTGATGCGAGTGCGTTCACTTTTTGTTGTCCAATTTCCACCGAGTAATTTGATTTATTCACGATAAAATGATGAAGTATCGAAGGCTATCGTCGAAAAATATATGCATCGATGACGGCATTTGGATTGTAAACCAGGGGGGGATTTGAGGAATCTAACAGACGAGATGCCAGAAATTAGATTTTTTTCGAGATTGGTCCCAATTTTGAAAGAGCGAATCGAATTTTCCGTGGAAATTTCTTTTCTGTATGGCAGAAGGAACGGGAACTCGCGGACAGTCAGGAAATAGTATCATCGAATCTGTCACTTGGACGATGGGCCTGTATTAGGCCCAAAAAATTAATCTATGAACTGTCAAAAATTAAACTGATCGAAAGCGAAGGTTTATGATAAATCGAGACAACCGAGAACTTGAGGTCCACGAGAAAATAGTATACCGATCTCATAACTTACACAATAGTTTGTTATCAGGCCCAAAAAATTAACTTATGAAAAATGACTGTGGTAAAGTATAATAATCAGGAGAATAAAAAAAATAATAAATAATAAATACTCTCGATACTGAGAGACTTAGTGGACAGGTATCGGTCCCAAAAAATTTGGGACCTGTCAAAATATAACTTTGGGACCTGTCTAAAATTTGATGAAACAAGTAAGTGAAAATAATATCACCGATGTTGCAACTTGTACTGGAGATTCGTATGAGTCCCAAAGTTGAACAAATGAACTGTCAAAAATTGAATTTATGGAAACGAAAAAAGCAAATTAAAAAAAAACAGAAACTTTGGGACCTTGAGGAAACGATATCAGTGATTCGGTCACTCGCACAGAGGACTCGCATCGATCTCGGAAACTGTTTTTTAACATAATGATCGAAAAGGAAAAATTTTCGCAAACTGGAATCCATAGCCAAATAAAATGATCGAAAATCCAAGGCTCGTTTATGTTCCATTTTGCCTAATCGCCAGAAAATTATATCATTGATACGTATTCGAATAGAAGATTGGAATCGGTCTTAAAAACCAAACTGATAAACTGACAAAATTGAAATTTGTCGAAAACAGAGAAGCCGGATAAATTAACGCTAGGTTTTCGAAACTCGTCAAAATGACCGGTCACTAATTTTTTCATTCACGATTATTCAGATTGCAAAAATACATTTACTACAATAACACTTATTACAATAACACTGGCTAAAAATCAAAAAATAAATATCTTACTATTACTATTATAAACAAATATAAAACTGCAACATTCAGTGCTCCCTAAATCTAACGTTAAAAGAGTCAGAACCGAAGAGCCCTTGAGAAAATGACATCAACGATTCCGTCACTCGGGCACATCAGGCCCAAAACCCAAATGCTCGAATGATCAAAAATTGGAGTTCCCAATAAAATGAACCCACAAATAAAATCGCGAGAAAACAACAGCACCACCGATACCTTCCCGCGAACTCGTCACCGGTCCCAAAAACCAAGTCCCTAAACGCACCCACCGAAACACGAATTCCCCAAAATTGTATTCGCGAGTAAAATACAGGAAACGAAGTTCTCGGTAACCAAGTAACGTGGGCACGACAGAACCGCGATAAGACGGTGCCGCGTATCGGTCCCAAAAACTTGTCGTTGCGTACCTTTAAAATTTCGAGTTCGTGGCGAACGAGGGCGAACGGAGTTCTTCGAGGTTTCCTGTCAGCGATCGCTGGTATCCTGTCGAGGGATGGCTTCTCACAAAACCGATCGGCTCGAGTAGGATCTCTGGCCGGGGTAAACGTCGATCACCGCACAAAAATGAAAATCTGACGAAAGGCGTGGATAAAAAAACCGGGGTGGGCACCAACGAAGCACAGAGCGCGCCGATAGACCCAATTTGACTTTAGCTGATCGCACAACACGCGTACGGTAATATCCAGCACGGAAATCGGCGACCGATTTGCAATGATAATACGCACCTCGCGAGGCACCGCGCTGCAGGGTATAACGACGTCGACCGGCTGGCTCTTAGGCACTGGATACACCTGGCTGAGTCGCGGCGCACGTTTCTTCCTCGACCGATCGGCAGAAGGGGGAGGGGGCAGTGGGACCGCTGCCGACTAAGGAGGACAGAACGGTACGCATAATTCGATCGCAGGTACGACACCATTGAAAACAAGCCAACCTCTTTCGCCTGGCCTCGCTAACCCTTGTCCACTGTCTCTATCCGAATTCTTCCCCCATTTCGCGTCCCCGCACTCGCAACCGTACCCATCGAAATCATGAGTATTCCCTCGCCTTCCCCCCCGTGCCACCAACAATCCCCCCTCCTGTTCCCTGCCTTCTGCTAGCTTCTTCTACTCCCTTCCTCCTGCCTCCCACTACCGTGCCAAGGCACTCTCGGCAGGTCGACGTTACCGATAGACCTGAATTTCGTTCACGTACTTCCAGACGATTGGCTGGAATGCTATTCTTAGCCAGAAGCAACGGTGTTTCGGGCCCCTCCGACCCACCACTGATGTAACCTTGCCACGCTACACCCACGAAATTTATTCAGCCACCGGGACACCGGCCCCGCCGCCGCCGCCGCCGTCGTCGCCGTCGCGAACGGGAGCCGTCGATGATCGCCAAGCGGCGAGGAACGCGGCGAGGAACGCGGCGAGCCGATCGGGATACCTGCCGTATCTGTCGTCGCGAATAATACTCGATGTCGATGAAATCACTTCCGACCCACGACCTCCCGGTTTTGGGTTTTATTTCACGATATCCGATACCGAATCTGACGATTCAATACGCGGAGGTGGATACCTGTTACGCGGCGCGTGGGTCGCGAAATTTTAGACTCGGGACTGGATCGGTTTCCCAGAATAGCTTCGCTCGGAGTATCTTCCTTCTAGCTTCTCTTTCGCTCGGTATACCTTTTGGTCGATCTATTTGCCACTTTGTCTAGATTTTTTTATTTATTTATATTTTTAAGATGTCCGATGATGTGGATGCGTTGGTTGTTATCGATTTTTGAAAATATTGTGACAGATCTGACGGTAGAACAGGTCTTCGCGAGCGATTGACCGAACCGTACGTTTTTTTAGATAGATTTTGAGAGCCCTGGATAGATTTTTAGGTACTTGCATAGATTTTTAGATCCCTGCATATATTTTTAGATCCTTACATAGATTTTTAGATCCTTAGGTAAATTTTTAGATTCTTACATAGATTTTCAAAAAATCTATGTAGGATTTTCAAATCCTTTTACAGATTTTTAGATCTTTAGATATTGAAAGTGTCGGAAATTGGCAGGCAGTTTCATTTTTCTGATTCTAAAATTAGCGACCTTTTAGCATTTTTTTATAAAATATGGATTAAGGTAACTGATCTCGAGTTTTGTTATGCTTTCATCGTGTTACTTGAATCTTTTCGGTTTCATTTATCTCGAATTACGATCCGTATCGACCGTTGATATAGACAGTCTGATAAATGATAACTAGACTGTCGATTTTATGCATTTTCGACTAAAATAACAAGGTCAGATCGAAGAATTTCGTTCCGATGTGTGCAACTTATTCAAATAACTTAAAGAGGAAAGACATTTTTATCAGACTTATGTTCCTCTGAGAACAGTACAGACAATTCTTATTTTGCATAAAAAATCCGCAGTGTAACGATAACTGTTACAAACATTCAGACAGAAAAAAAAGATCTACGATCTTTTCGTACGATAATTCCTTACCGAACAGTTAACCTTCCAAACTGATCGATCCAATATTTTTTTTCCGAATCGTTGAGCCGATTGCAAGGAAGCGATTCCGAGAAAAAAATAGCATCGACACTCCGAATTCGTGGCATAAAATTTTATGCACGATGTTACAAAGTAATGCAGAAAAAGTCGATATTTAATAGCCTGTAAATGAGGTTCCCCTGAAGGCCCACAGACCACCTCAGCGCTCGCCGGTGGGCGATAACGCCCACATTGTGAAATTACGATACCGGATTTTGGTTTGACGCATTAACCTTCGTAACCACGAATAACGGAGATACCATTTTTGAAATATTTGGTCATCCTGGAAACCTCGGAGATAATTATGCAGATTGGGTACCGATTCAATGACCCTAACGCGTGTCATAGAGGTCATTGAACTTTTCTTATTCACCGTTTCGCTTCAGTTTAAAGAATACAGACGAACATTGTCTTTATCTGTCTCGCGTTCAGTGCCGTATCGGTCACACATGGGTGACACCAATTTTTATCTAGGTTTCGAAATTCAGTTTTATGATAATATCAATTTTGGACAAACTAAATGTTAGCAGGATTTTTAGAACAAAAATTCTAACAATCCTGCTAACATTTAGTTTGTTCAAAATTGATATTACCATAAAAATGAAATTCGAACCCTAGTTAAAAATTGGTGTCACCCATGTGTGACCGATGCGGCACTGAACGCAAGATAGATGAAGAAATATATATATTTATTTATTAATAAATAATCATTTACTATTTGATAGGTAAATCGGATTTATTTATTATCTTCTTCTAATTACTTCTACTTATTATTATTTATTTATTTAAAAGTAATGTTATCGTCCAGAAGAGATTGATTGAAAATAGGCTTGGCAGTAAACGCGTTAAAGTATCATTTCGAACACTCTCGTAATTTGCAGCTCTAATATCGCAACACAGGAGGCACGCACGATCGTCATACATAGATAACGCAGATCTTCCTGCGAGATAAAAAGTAGCCTGCACGAATTACAAGAAACAGGAGGCGGTTAATTAGGAGATTTCCAGTGCGGACGGAGACGCGCCGTTTCGCAGTTTAAACGCCGTCGAAATCTTCGAAGCAATTTGCGGGCAATGGTCGCGCATTAAATGGTTCCATAATCGTTTCATAATTGAATCTCTTGTCCCGAAAATCAGGCGCCCCTGTGTGTAACACAGGATTCGTACCGCGGGCGTACCGTATGGCGTCCGAAGCGACGACCCGGCGGAACTGTGTTAACTGGAAGAATAATTGGTCGGCGTGATTCCAGAATTACCACGAAATTACACGGCCAGTGTACACAAAAGCAAAAACGTGTTCCCGAAGGAAAAACAAGATAAACGGAACGCGATGACCGATCACGGTATGTCATTAAGCAATGACGGTGGATTCGGAATTTCAGGCAAATGATGCGTATCGGGTAAATAATAGGTATCGTCGTCGGTCGTACATACGTGTACCAGAGCAACGGTTGAGGTGAGACAGAGGAGGACGAAGAAAGCAGGAACACACAGAGCGAGAGAGAGAGAGAGAGAGAGAGAGAGAGAGAGAGAGAGA